AAAGGTATGTGCCGGCCAATGGTCGAGGGAACTAGTGTAAAGATTTCTTTCTACCGTTTTTAGTTTGGCTTTACTTTTTCACCATAAACCGGGCGCTATACGAAACTTTTTGAAAACGCCGCCATTTTTTCGAGGTTTGTTATGGCGCCCAGGCCGTTCGCGTTAGCGCGAGCCATGAGATCTTGCACATGCGCAGACGTTATTCAGCCCTGTTGCGACGGTCTTCGTGACGTAATTTTGTGTACACGCAAGTTGCAGAACGTGTGAGGCTGAGAGGCGAGTCAGTCGTAAGCAAGTGCCACTCTGCTAATTCTATAGATTATAGAACGCTTTTCTGCGAAATGTCCAGCGATTCCGAAGAAGGTACCATTTCTGAGTCTTCTGGGGACTCGAGTGACCAAGTCGATTGAGGAGAAGGAATTGAGGTGGTTGGCAATGTCGAACCGTATGAAGACGAACCTGTGGCAAGTGACGATGGCGACCATGAAGACGAGGAAGACGAAGTAGATGCCGATGGATTAACTCCAGCAGTTTTAGAGGCGAGATTCGAGCGGCAAATAGCAATTCGTGAATGGTTAGTGAAGCTTTCTAAGCATCATAATCGTGCTACTGTCAGATAAATAAAGTATTTTTCTCGTTTTAGGTGCGAATGTCAACACTGCAGCGACCTTCAATTAGTTAGTGCTCTCGAGTTTCGTTGCTGTCGTGAAGTTCTTGTCGCGAGGGCAAAGCTAACTTTCGATGGATCAATTGAAAGATTGAGTTGCCTCACCCAACACGAGGACTACGAGGCCCTTACCAACAGAACTGTTCTGTTGCAAGTTGCACCCTTCTTGCGGGATAAGAATGGAAGAAGCTACAGGCGACGAACTGACGTGACTGAAAACGAGTATGTATTGTTGAATTGCGATTATGACTTTTTCTTCATTTTTGCACTAAAAACTTCCAACACACTACACTCTGTTAGCATTTACGTACACTGCTGACGTGACTACAATTTATTGATCTCTGCGGTTACCATCTCTGCGAGCATTTTTGTCTTCATTGGCCGCTGCACTTCTCACTTCTAAACGAACATGAGAGGTTGAAGGTTTGGACATATCACTTTGCACATCGTCATATTAATTGTAGCCCTGTTTTGCATTGATAGGTTCGTAAGAAGTGTTGCTTACAGATGGCTTGTACGGTGGATGTGTGGATATATGGGCTGGGATAACATAAGACCATTACCAGCTTGTGTCTATTATAACCTGAGGACCAAGTATCCATCACACAACTCAAGAGGATATGCCACTTCTCAGGAACGAGAATACACTGTGCCTCCTTTTCCTATGAAGAATTTTTGTGAAATTCGTGCAAAATATCAATCATTCCTACAAGTACACAGAAATAGTGCCAAGTTTCCTTCACTATAGTCATACCCATAACTGACTGATGTGTGGTACATCTATTCATGTAGGTCATGTGTATGACTCATGTCGAGAGAACATTAAAATTCATTGCAAGCAGTTTGTGTCCCTCATTTCACTCTATCTTCTGTTTCTGCTGCATTGTTACATTTTCAAAATTTATTTAATCACTCCTCATGGTTTATTTTATTTTTAATGAAATGAATTCTAAAAACAACAAGAATTCCCCTACCTTCTCTTTAGGAAAGGCAAGTGACACAGTTTGAGACAAAATAAATTTTGCAGTAATATAGATAATGCCAGTTTATTTGAATGTAATAATACAGCATAACATTGCGGTTAGTTCCATAACATCTTTACATACATACTGACACATATTATTGTGAGATTAATTTCCTGTGTTGTCCTCAACTATCTCCCAGACTGGGATAAATTCCTTTTCCAAACAATGTTGGTAGAATTCAAAGTGGTACCAACCTTTTTTCAAGGCTCTCTTATATACAGTGTACAATAAAACTGTAATGAAAAATACTTATGTTCATTACAAGGTAACTTGCACAAAAAATAAGCATGTTCTAAGTTTTCATATAGCCCAGAGTGAGATAATTTTATTTGTAAATGTAGGCTCGCACAAACAACTCATGGAAACTGTTCAGTGCACAGAATATAAAACTACAACATAAACTTCAGCAAACAATCAGTATGTGTGTTCATTGACGCTTTTTCTTTCCTTTTGAACGCCCTCGTGCAGGCTGTTTTGACTTCCTGCTAACTCGTGTTTTCCTAGAAGCCTTGGACTGTGAAGTCGGTTGTGCTTGTTGCATTCTCTCCTGCAATACATTCTGTTCTTCACCTGCAGAGACAGAATTACAACTTGATGTTAACTTACCAAAATAAAAATAACACCAGTTCTATTTGTTTTTCTTTTTTCTCTTATATTCAGTATCAGAACTTAAACAGGAAATAGAACTCCAACTGGTAATTTGTGTAAATCAATATACATTGTACATGGGGATAGATTTTACCAGCTGGGAATAGCTTAGTGCTGATCTTCTGCCTTTCTTTGTAGGACTTTACTGCCTCTGGTTTACTTGCTCTGTTAGGAAGTTGAGATGTTAGGGTTTCAGGAGCCTTGGACGCGAATCTGTCAAATGTCTCCTTCAATGTAGCCTTGGGCAAGCTGAACAGTAATTTCTTCAGTTCCTCCACATAGTCTGCAATCAGAGTGACGTTGATTTTCATTTTCAGTTAATGGATCCAGACACTTGACTGTATCTAAAACCTTTACATGATTTCCATAAAATGGTTTCATAATACTGGTATATCCTCTCAAGTATTGATCAAATGGAACTTCCAATTGTGTACTCAGGCTGCAAAACTTAAACCTAATAGAATATACCAAGGTACTTACCATAGGTGGGTGGAGAAGCAACATCACGCACAACTTCCTCCCCAAGTTTGAACTTGGGGTAAGATACTTTATAGTAGTTTTCACCATTCTTTCCAGCCTGTGCCTCTCTTTGTACATTTTCGTTGAAATGAAGACTTGCCAGAATATGTCTAGAAGGGAAAGGGGGAAAATAAACAAAACCATCAAGTCGAATGGTAACTTATGGACCTAGTCAATTAACATGTACACTGCACAGGATGTTTAATACAGCTTGGATGAAATTGGTACCTCTGTCCTGGTCTGAGGACAGGTGAAAGTGGACGTGGGTAACAATTTTATCCAATGTGTTGTGTAATGCAGATGGCCCTATAGTTGCAACTTCAAATTTTTAACAGCCATGTAATGATCATGGGGATGGTAGCGGTGGCATAAATATTCTATGTATTAAAAGCCTAATACATGTACATGAAGTCCACATGCCCAGCTTCTGAGCAAAATAACCTGCAATCAAATCGGTGTCATTGCATCACCAAGTCTAATCTATTTCGCTTTGTTACCATTTGTATTCAACCATCTTGGCTCACCTACAAAATGTTCCTAACCAGGAAAAACAAATCATCTTCGGATGCCAGTGGCTAAGTGTAGCATGGAAACCTTCTAGGCTGCTTGTTTGGGCATCTGAAGAAAGCTTCTTGATATCACTAACAAGAGTCTTGTTTGTCAACAAGGTTTGGAGCTTCTCATAAGCCACTGTGCCTGTACAAGGTAAAAAATCAAAACAAACTCTGTGAAACACTCACCTTATATGTGAGATGTTGCAGAAAATACATGGGCACTTTTAATGATGAATCAAATAAGAAAACAAAGCCAGACAGCAATCAACTAATTCTATAAATCTATAGAATCTGTAGAATTTCCATGCACATAATCACAAATGCATAACTATGTGTACAAGTATCAATGATACAGCTCTAAACATGTATTTCATGAAAATTCCTACAGTACTGTACAGTGTAGTAAGAGTACTGTTTGTTCAGCATACCACAAAATTCTACAGGAGAGAAGTAACAACAAATTGGAAATTACCAACTTTGATCCATTTGCGTCATTCAAGATCTCCATGATTGCACTCTGTGTACAGGGGATCAGGATGGTTTTTGTGTTTGTTTGCCACACGTCACAGGAAGGAATGCCACTTAGCAGAAATGAGCGATCCAAACCCTGGTTTGGAAGAGGTAGCGCACCAGTATAGATGTTTCCTAATCCCTCTTATCCAACTGCTGATCACCTCACACCCATTCTCTTTACTTGCCTTGAGCAGCTTCTTGGTAATTGTTCTTGCCACATGCCAAATGTCGAAGTAATGGTTCGTGCTTGGACAAGACTCACGGATCCATTTTGCAATGCTTTGATGTCAGTCAGAGATAAATACAGGGATGGATAGACCAAGCCGCTTGAGGAACTGAAATGACCTCTTGCATCCTTCCAACTCCATCTGCTGACTTCCACCAGTCTCATTAGCCTAGGAAAGACAAATGAAAAATATATTGTATTTTCCGAACACTACGCAAGAGAAACAATACATGAATTTAAGTAACAAAAACATATAACAATTTATTAGTGAAGCATATGTTGTGGTTCAGATTTTTCCTTGGTTTAAAATTTTTCAAACCAGTTAGACTTTTATTGTCTTTTGTTCTTGACTATGCTAATCAAAACAAGAGCGAAAACAAACAAAAAGAAAAATCAATACCAGTTTGAAAAATTTCAAACCATGGAAAAAGTTGAGCCACAACATAAACAATTTTCAAAAACTGAAATTTAAAATGATCTCATGCATTCTTATTGACTGGATTTACAGTGAATGTGGACTGGTATGTAATGTATAGCCTACTCAAGAGCCCAGAACTAAACAAAAATACATGTATAATCCTCTGACCTGGACTACTTCAAAATGCACAATTTTCACGTTTGTTGTGCACAGCATGGTGTAGGCACCGTATTTGGCAGAATGACCCATAGAATCAAACCTTCCATCACCTGTCCAAACAACCTCCTTCAACTTCTTCAGTTTGTCTACAAGCTTAGCTCGGTAAGACTCCCAGTAATGAAGTATAGTAGGAAAGATAAACTGGCGTTGATGTCTGAAATAGGTCCTTGCAGAATAAACAGAAACACCCATGTGACGAAATATAAGCAAAACTTTGCTTATTGGAGCACCTGCCATTAATATGGCGAAACTGAGCAGCACATTTCCACCTGGATATTTTCCCATCACAAGGGGCTGAGATTTCCATTCAAAGACATCTTTACATTTAAGGCAGTGTTGGGTCACAGTGACCATAGTCCCATGACACTTCATTGACACAGGTGGTGCAGCTTCCTTACACTTGAAGCAGAACAAGGTGAAGATGTTCATGAGCATTCCATAGAAAACAATAAACTTTGGTTGACTGTATTCTGGCATACTGGGATCAACCCTGAAAAAGAGACAATCAAGGAAACAATTACAACATGTACATGTATCACTGCATACTACATAGTGACATTCACTGTGATACATTGTGCAAAGTGTACAGTGTGTCTTTCAATAATATTGAAATAACTCTTGTTGTTCTCCCACCTGACATCACCTGTGAACAGCTCCTCTGCATCCTCATCACACTCACTTTCAGTGGTACTCTCTTCCATGGCAGCATATGTGTAATCCTCTTCCTGTTCTTCTGGTTCTTCTGCACTACTGTCACAATCAGCTATGGGCTCTGTGTCCACTGGTGGATCAGTTTCATTTGGTTGGGGCTCTTCAGTGTCCTCTTCAGTGTCCTCTTCAGTTTCAAGGACTCTCTAAAATATAATGAAATTCCCAGTAACTAAAAAAATCCTATGATCCAATTAGAATACACCAAATTACACATTACACAAGTAAGGATTACAGAAGTTGTAAGGTGCATGCTAAATATATGTGTATGTTGCACCCATGTCAAACAAAATTTATTTGGCAAATAGTTAATAGTGTGTGTAATTCAGACATTTCCTTAAAAATTTGCACGTCAAACAAAGTTTGGTCATTCATCCAACATGATATCAGATAGAAAAAAGTGACTTTAGGCTAAGGCTTAGCAACCATATTTGAACCGAAGCAACTTTAAATTGATACCAGATACAAGCTGGAGATCTGTGTACAGGTGACTATTACCTTGTAGCCAAAAACTAAACAAAATTTCAAACCAGTTTGATTTTTCTTTTTCCTTGCTTGGCATAATAAAATTATTATTATTACTATTATTATATGGAACAATGGAAAATGAAAAAAAAGATGGCTTGGAAAATTTTACACGGAGTAACATTTTGGAATGTATTCAAACTTTCCACATACAGTACGTCTGCTCCAAATATTCATTGTGAAGCATATATTTTACTCACACTTTGCAGTTCTCTAATGGTTTGCTTCAGTTCAGCAACTCTTTTTCGTAGACGGCGGTTGCCCTTTTTAGCACCACGCAATTTTTTTGATTGAGCAATGCATTCCTTGCACTTCACCCTGGCAGTGGCTGGGGTTGAAAATGGTGTAGAGCTAGCTGTACTGGTTGATGCTAGTTCACTGTCACATGGGGGGCTTGAAAAATCAGCATCAGGAAGGGACATAGTGGTTGTCACAGTGATTGACTCTCCTCCAGTAGGAAAACATGTTGAAATTGTGCTGATGGTGGTAGTAGGGCTGGTACTAACAGAAGAAGCAGTGCTGATGTTTAGAGGAGAGGCTGTAGTATACGTAGATGTGCTGGTGAAACGGCATGTAGTGGCTGTGCTAGTTGAAACAGAATCGTCCTTCTTTGCACGCTTATAAGCACCAGGTTCACTTTCTGCTAGTGCGCTTCATTTTAGCTACGTGAATAAAAAAAAAACAAACAAAAAAAAAAACGAGGATCAAAGGCTGGTAATTATGCAAGCTCAGGTTTTGTAATTGTATTCATAAAATATAAAGACAACCACGTTGTGATAAGAAGGAACATTCCAGTTCATACACGGAAAATGTCCAAAATACGTTGCTTGCGAGTAATACCGTCAAAATATTGATATCATCCCAATACAGAAACCACTCTATTACCTGACCGGAAAAATTTACGAATAAGCAGCGAGAAGTACGTAAGAGATAATTAAGCTTATGTTTAGTTCACTTACATGTACTTGGCGTTTTCTTCGTTCCGTGAGAGTATCTGTTCTTTCGGGAACAACTGAATCCCTCGTAGGAATGGATCCTCGAATCAAAACTTTATTCTGTTTTGAGTGTTTGCCAAGATCAAGGGAGATCTTCCGCGTATAGCACGACTCTTCGAAGTGCGCTGAACACAACGATGTGTACTTGGTGACACTGGACTCGTGAAAATCGGCACGATGCCTTTGGACGAATTTCACCCACTTATTTTGCACAACCGGATCCTTTGGAAACTGATGCATGCTGATTCCAACAGTATGAGAATTGTTCTTACAACTCGTATTATTCGGCGCTCCAGCAACGCAGTATCTTCCCCCTCTTTTCTTTTTACCGGAGCAAGCCTCACTGTTCGCCGCACTGTCGTCCATGTTGGTTTCGATGCTTGTCCACGACTTTACGTCACACGAGAAAGTCACGTGACGTTTTGGCCGCGCGGAACAAAGGACAATTTCGTTCGCAGATAGCGCGTATTTTGAACCAAAAAAAAGGTTTGAAAATGTTTCTTCCTGGTTTGAAGGATAAAATCGTTTTTTATACACACCAGGCTAAGAAACAATGGGGAAAAAAATTTCATGTCATATGCACTTTAAGATTGTTTAGTTGAAGCAATAGATCGTCATTAACCGCCAGCTTTGATTTTTCGTGATTCCCTTGCCTACCTTTGATGGCGATCTGCAAAGTAGCCCCATCACCCAGACACACCTTAAAGCTCGTATCGGCTCGTTTTTGGAACTTAGCAGTCACTGCAAGCACAACATTCCCATGCTACTTTTTGCAGAGAAGGTATTATGTTAGACACGGATGTAATCCAAAAATTTAAAGAGAAAGTTTTAGTCCTTGGGATTTGATGCTGAAGACGACATTTACTTTCAAAAATAACAAAAACAAAAAAACTGCAGTTATGAACGCATCATATTCTTTTTCTTTTCTTGGTAAAATTGGGCTAATTACGCGGGCTACACCACTTTCACCTCTTGCCTCTCACCTGCTGTCTCGCTCCACGACGTAAAACCTAAGGCTCTCCTTTTCTCTCTCTGGGGATCTGCGCCAGCTTTTTCTCTCTCTAC